AATATGTGAATATATTAACCATTATTCTGTAAACGTTTACTTTTTTTACAACGCGAAAGAATAAGTATGCATCATTAGGGACATATTGGAATGTGCTTTTAATGTTAATGACACCCTTTTTTGTTTCTTTATTTGATATTTTATGGGTAGTCGGTATGTTGTCATAAAATGGCTTTTATTTGTAGCTGGCTCGGTTAAGTGGTGAACCTTATTTTATATTTCAAATTGAAAAATTCCGCCATGAAATTTTGCTTTGTCATATTTGATTTTCAAAATATCTTTATGTTCTCTTCGTTAAACGATGATGAAATGTACTTTATACCAATCATTGATTTCAAATCAAGAAAGACATGAAACATAATGATTTATACTGAAAAGCCTTTTATACTTATACAAGACGTCTACAGTAAGTGTTATGACTCCTTGGCATAAGTGATGTATCATTCGACTCTTACTTACTTGTATTCGGATCGAATTCGAATCCCGATATTTTTTCTTCTTCTTTTTCCTTGTTTCTGTTTTAAACAAACGTAATATAGTCGACAGGCAACGGGAATTTTCTATATAACTCTTTTCTTTGGCTTTTTGTGGTACATGATTAAAATTTTGAAATAGTTCAAAGTATTTTTTCCTAGTAAAATACTGTCAATATTTTTCCTATTAATTTGTGTACAGCGCTAGCTGTCTAAATTAAATAAAAAACTTTGTTAGAACTATTTATTTAATTGCGTGTTCAAAGTACTGCTATTTTCTTGCTATATAAACAATACTTTTGAAAACATATAACCCTTTGGATCAGAACTATCTTGCAGAGCTTGATGCTGTTAAATATTCTTCTGGTGATTTGATTTTACAATGATAATAAAAAGAGATATTTAGTACAGTGCTTGTTCATATTCCATAATGATTTGCAGCTGTACTTATGGTGACTTGATTGATACATTGTATTACATGATGCCGTCTTTGTTTTAACGGATGATATATCAGCTATAATAAATTATAATTACGTCCGTTTTCAAACCTAGTCGCAGAAAAGAAGTAATAAGTAACCTCATATAAATCTTATGTTCTGTTTCGACTGATTTACTATAAGAAGGTATCAACAAATAATTAAACACATAAGTTAACTTTACATCGAAGTCTTTTTTAACATAATCTGTTCTTTCGGGACCGTTTTCCGGAGCTGAACGTACCTTCGGTTTGGTGTCCTGCTGGATTCCTTTCCATTGGGCCTGTGTTAAGGGTGTGTTCGCTGAGTGTTGGTCTTATCTTTCACATTTTTTATAACTTCATTTATTAACAAGCTTATCATTTTAAATGGAGTAAAAAAGAAAAAAAAGAAATGAAACCCGAACATTTGTGTAATCGTTAGAAAGTAGAAATCGGTATTAATTTGAAACAATTTATACAAGGATATCATGTATATTTTAGCGTTTTCATAATCAGAATCTTTAACTTCACCCGAGGATCAACTACTTTAAAAGTTTACGTATCGAACGTGGAATACAGTTTAAAACCAGGCATAGTTACTGTAATGAGGGATATATAGCGTTTTTTATTATCTTATCATAGATATCTTATCATAGATAATAATTAAGGTAGAACGCGACACTTTGCAAACTTTCGAGTAGCGTCTTGAAAATTGGCATGCAGAAAATAGACCATATATACAATGGTATTGTGATACCCGTAAAAGTTGCCAAGGATACGCAACGACGTCTTGTTCAAAAACGGGCTTTAATGGTCAACTTTGAGGTCGTGTGTACAATAATTGGTTGAAACTATTGGAATACAATCAACGGAATCAAGTCAGAAATATAGTCAACTTTCTGCATGTCAATTTTCAAGACGCTACTCAAAAGTTCGCAAAGTGTCGCGTTCTACCTTAATCGAGTCATATCAGTTTCGCACCTGTTTCGTTCGAAATGTTTCTGACTGATTTATTTTGCGTCTTAAACATTCTGTGTATCAATTCCTTGATAAGTCATCTAAAAAATGTTGAATGTATATTCACGACGATGACATATTACAATCAAAACGTTATGTGCTTTAATGACGCTTGTTTTGTGCTGCGCTAAATATGGATTTTACAATGAAAGTTTTAAATCATTGCATAACATAGAAGTCTCTTCTTTTGTATGATTATATTGATACATATTTTCTAACCTATTTTCAGCAGGCATATTTAAAAGTAACACAACATTCAATGGATATTGAATTATATTCATTCATATCAGTAACAAAATTCAATTACAACATAGATATAATGATTCTGTAAAAAGAAATTGATATTTAAATATTGTGACATTTAAAACGAGACAGATATTTCCCAGAAATCTGTCATAAAATAAGCTGTAATTTAAAGAACAATAGTAAGGTCAATAAAAAAATCGTTAATATAATTGTCTTTGTTCTCTTTTGAAACTAATGATTTAAAAATTACTATATGCATGTGGATAATACTTTATTTTTTTTTAATTACATTTTACGTTTGATTTTAAAACCATGAATTTCTTTCTCGAATTAATGTTAAACGGTTTTTATTTTTCATTTATTCCCCTGAGGATATTGCTTTGTTACTTTTCAAAAATTCTGAGCTTTCGCTATGATCTGGTTAAGCAAAATTCATTTTTAAAGTCAATTATTGTTATTAGTTTGGTTTTACTTCGCACTAATACATTATAGGTAATTTGACGATTTTCCAGCTTTATTGGAGGCGAATACACCAGGTGCTCTTCTTGAGTAGAAACACCGACGTTCCGTAAGCTAGCTGATAATTTCCTGCCAGCTGCTGTTATCTTTTGCAGAAGAATTTTATTAAGATATTTAAATAATTTTTATAAACACAAATTACAACATTACTGGTTCTTCAGAAAAAAATTCAAAACGTTACAATTACATTTTATGTCACTGTTAAAGGTGCATATATGCATCAAATGTTATAAATGTATGAATAAAGAAATGATTACGGTAATGTTATTAAAATCACCTGTTAAAGTGTATAAGGCTATATTTGTTGCCTGTAATTAACAAAATTTTGATCAACTTTTGGAATATAATATCTCAAATCCTTCTTAGAATAACTGCATTATATTTTGTTCCGAAACATTTTATTATGTTTATTAACGCACGTCATATGTGTTATGTGAAAAAGACATACTATGTTTGATATTGTTTTCAGTTGACTTTATTTTCAAATCTGAAAAAATTGTCATTATATATAGCCTTATACCCTTGAACATCAAGAATTAAAACAAGAAATGCCGAACGATACATATGTCCCCTTTCTAGACATTGACGCATATTTTTGGTAATTTTGTTATAGAAACTTGCCATAAATGGTTACATGGTAGTGTTCAGTTATGGGAAAAATAAAAATAATGACCTTCTAGTTATATCCAATCAATATGTGAAACATAAAGACCTCGACCTTTGACCTAGTGACCTAACTATAACTAATCAATATGTGAAATATGAAGACTTTGTGAAAAAAAATCAGGTAAAAAGCGGAAACCATTCTTGAATTTAAGGCCGCTGTGACCTTGACCTATGAACTATAGTGATCCCAAAATCTATAGGGGTCATCTACTACATTTGGCTATTCAAAATATGAAATATGGAGACTTTGTGATACAAAAGTTTCAAAATAACGAGCAGAAACCAATCTGACCTTTAAATCACCCCTGTGCCCTTGACCTTTGTCATAGTGATACCAATATCAATAAGGGACATCTACTACTTATGCCTAATCAATCTGTGAAATATGAAGACTTTGTGATAAATATTTTACAAGATAATAAGCGGAAACCATTCTGACATTAAGGGCAACCATGACCTTGACCTTAGACCTAGTTACCCCAAAATGAATAGGGGTCATCTTCTGGTTATGACCAATCAATATGTGAAATATGAAGACTTTGTGATATTTAGTTTGCAAGATAATAAGCAGAAAACGTTCTTACATTTAAGGCCACTGTGATCTTGACCTTTGGACTAGAGACCCATAAATTTATTGACATCACCTAATACATATGACTAATCAATATGTGAAAAATGAAGATTTTGTGATACATGGTTTTCAAGACAATGAGCTGAAACCATTCTGACATTTAAGGCCCCTGTGACCTTGACCTTTAATATAGTGACCCCAAAATCAATAGGGGTCATCTACTAGTTATGACCATCATCTACTTGTTTTGACCAATCAGTATGTGAAATATAAAGACTTTGTGATAGATAGTATTCAAGATCATGAGTGGAAACCATTCTAACATTTAAGACCTCCTCTGTGGCCTTAAACTTCAAGTAGTGACCCCAAAATCCATAGGGTCATCTCCTGCTTATGACCAATCAATTTGAAAAAAGAAGACTTTGTGATAAAAAGTTTTCAAAATAATGAGCAGAAACCATTCTGATATTTAAGGCACTTTTGCCCTTGACCTTTGTCATAGTGATACCAATATCAATAAGGGACATCTAATAGTTATGCCTAATCAATCTGTGAAATATGAAGACTTTGTCATAAATATTTTACAAGATAATAAGCGGAAATCATTCTGACATTTAAGGCACCAATGACCTTGATCTTTGACCTAGTTACCCTAAAATCAATAGGGGTCAGCTACTAGTTATGAACAATCAATATGTGAAATATGAAGACTTTGTGATATTTAGTTTGCAAGATAATAAGCAGGCAACGTTCTTACATTTAAGGCCACTATGATCTTGACCTTTGGACTAGAGACCCATAAATTTATTGACATCACCTAATACAAATGACTAATCAGTAATCAATATGTGAAATATGAAGATTTTGTGATACATGGTTTTCAAGACAATGAGCGGAAACCATTCTGACATTTAAGGTTCCTGTGACCTTGACCTTTAATATAGTGACTCCAAAATCAATAGGGGTCATCTATTAGTTATGACCATCATTTACTAAATATGACCAATCAATTTTGAAATATAAAGACTTTGTGATAAATAGTTTTCAAGATAATGAGTGGAAACCATTCTAACATTTAAGGCCTCTGGTCTTAACCTTTCAAGTTTGACCCTAAAATCAATAGGGTCATCTCCTGATTATGACCAATCAATATGAAATATGAAGACTTGGTGATAAATTGTTTTCAAGATAATGAGCGAAACCCATTCTGACATTTAAGGCTCCTATGACCTTGACCTTTAACCTAGTGACCAAAAATTCAATAGGAGTTATCTACAACTGTTAAACAATCAGTATGGAAATATAGAGACTTTATTGTTAATAGTTTTTCGGGTAATGAGCGGAGAACATTCTGATATGTGAGGCCCCTGTGACTTTGACCTTTGAACTAGTGACCCTAAAATCAAAAGGGTTAATCTCATTGTAATGTCCAATCAATATTTGAAATATGAAAACTTTGTGATAAATAGTTTTTAAGATAATGAGCGGAAACAATTCTGAAATTTTAGGCCCCTTTGACCTACACCTTTGACCTAATGACCCCAATATCAATAGGGGTCTTCTACTGGTTATGACCAAGCAATATGTGAAATATGAAGAATCTATGATAAATAAGTTTTAAGATAATTAGCGGAAACTATTAGGTCTACCGACGGACAGCCCGACGGACCGACATTAGCAAACCATAAACCCCTCTTCATTGAAAGTGGTCATATAAATGTGATATTTGGTCCAAATAGTGGTGAACAGAATACAGTATACATGGCATGTGCATAAGTATAGAGACAATAAGCCAACTATGAAATATTAAGAAATATCATTTGCCGGTTGCAATTTCAGTATTTAACTTTTACTGTTAGCCTTCCTTCGTGTTCGGAAACAAGGCAGTGTTTCCTTAAAACTCCTTCTAAAATTTGTTGAAAAAATAGCATACAAAAATGGATTGAGCACAGAATTTAAATATAAAACAATAAATGATATAGGCGACAAAATCGTATCAACAGAGTGAGGGAAGTGAAATATCATCCAGTAATGATTAATCACTTTCATCATATGAGGCAAAACACAAAAGCCAAATGTAACAACTACTGAAATGAGAAGTCGAATGACCTTCTTTCTAGCTTTTCCTACACGTCTCGAACTAGACATACATGCTTGTCTGTAGCGACTCTGTCGGAAACTGCTTTGCCTAAAACTTCTACCTCCAGTAAACGAGACAGATTCTTGTTCTGGCGAGCCACTGAAATGAACAGCTATGTCCGATTCCGAAAACTCTGTTGTAGGCGATTTTGGAAAGAAGCACTTAATTTCATTTGGAGATGATTTGTCTCCTTGTCTAACGCCACAGACAAGAGTAAATGCATGTTTGCCTTTAAATGTAAAAATTGCTTTATCAGAATATTGACTTTCTTCGCTTGATGAAGAATGACCATGTGGTTTTTCAACTTTTTCACCACTTATCTTTGGACTATTTGTCATGTTTTTCTCACATGAATTTCGAAAAGAATCATTATTGAAGTTGGTCGTTCGTGTAGATGCTCTGTGATCAGAGGAGTCGTCGGCGTCGGAATATGGCTGCAGACGGAGTGCGGAAACGACTGCAGTTTTCCACAATGCTCGAGCTACTTTGTAGTACATAAATCCAATCAATAACAAAGGGAAAACATACCAGATTATTAGATTAAGTAAACTTAGCCATTTTAAGCTTTCGGTGTATTGAAATGAAAAGTAACAGTATTCTTTTCCATTTTCCGAAAACGAGATCGTGTCATAAAAAATGAGAAACGGAATATTATATATCAAAGAAATCAACCATGTAAATATCTGAACAAGAACGAGTCTCTTGTTTGTCATGAAATGCCTTGCCTTCAAAGGATGGATTATGGCGATGTATCTCTCGATTGCTATAACTGTCAGTATTATTATACTTGCAATGTAGCTGACATTCCAAATGTAGTAATATATTTTGCACATTGCCTAAAAAAGAGAAACACAATTGTTATTTACCGAAACCATACGTTATATTTACCATTAGTTTACATTAAATGCTAATAAAATAAATCAATAGATGTCGAGAACAATTTAAAATAACGGTTTTCTTTAGACATGTATATTAAGGTGAATATCAGGAAAAGATGTTGGAGATCTCTTTAATGTGGTATATAGATTAAATATTACATAAATAAGGTAATAAAAGTAATGTTCACGCTCTGTATATTTTGAAATGATGTTATAATAACAACTCCGTTGTATTATTTGTAGATTACTATTCTTGAAAGTTCTTTAACATTTCAAAGTAATAATCTTGCAATTATGGAAAAAAGAGAATTTTAAGAATATCGCAACAACTTTGGTTTTAATGGACATGAATAATCTGTTCATCATATGTTATGTAAGTATATTTCCTGAAATTATTGCAGCGTTCTTTTAATTGTTAAATTGAAACAGCGTCATATCTTTTTAATGACTAACAGTGCTTTATGTCGATTTTTGCACTTTCAAAAACTCAGGCATATAATAAATAATTTTTTTTAGAGTTGTAAAAAATAACACTATATCTTCTTTCAAATAAATAACCTGCTTATAAAATTAAATACAAATGTTTCAAAAACGTTGTATTACATTGTGACTTTACTGTGATTATTATTACCTTTCCAAGAATCCAGTTCGGCTGCAGGAATGTGGACAAGTTAGGAAGAACACAAAAGGCCCCGACGCAAAAGTCAGCAATGGCAAGATTTGCCAACAGAAAATTTGTCATAGTGCGGAGGCGAGGACTCCTTGCAATGGCAAATAACACCATGGCATTACCTGAAATATACGTAAAATGAGACGAAATATGAATTATCAATGTTATGATAATTCTTCTATTTCTAAGAAGTAACCACTTTGCTATAATATCAGATAAATAGGCTACTTGATTTACACACACAATTATTAAATTAAACCAAATACGTACATTCGATTTATCAGCAAGTGAATGGAGGTAAACAGAATAATATATGCCAATGAAAAAGCTTAATCAATTTATTAAGAGCTAGGTTAAATTAAACATTTGAACGTGTGTGTGTACTAGTATGTCTTGTGTGTGCGTGTAAGAGTAAGAACATGTGTGGGTGAATGCGTGTGCATATTTCTTTTGAAAACAACAATTTTCTTTCTTATCGAAATGTAAATTCTAAGATCCACTGGAATCCACAGTTGGTAATCCAGGGCAATAATTTATTATGTTACCAAAGCAAATATTTTAGTATTAACTCGTTTCATGATAAATGTCCATCCGATAACATATAAAGTAAATTCTTGTAATGTTTATAAAGGTCAGATAAAACGGTCGGTGTGATACAACTAATAGAAAGCCATAAAAATGGTGAAACGCATAATGCAATGTCTTTGTTATCCGTCTTCTATAAATTGATTTGGCAGACAAGGCGATAAATTCTTATTATCAAATGACAATTTCATTTCCGAGAAGAGAGATCATTGTGCAAGAATGTATTGTATTACAATAATACAAGCCAAAATGAATGACATGGGGATAGATAGTAACATTTAATTAAAAGTTATTATTTTACATTTGAATATGAGGTATTTTGCCTTGCAAATAATGTCTCGATCTAATAGGCGAAATAGAAATTAGTAAATGAGTTACATGTATATACCTTAGCAAATTAACATGTTTCTCGCGATAACATCCGGTCATCGGGACAGTGCAAACGCCAGTATTTGCAAATCTTAATTTAAACTGTGTGATGTGAAAAAATCACAAAAATGAAGATGAAACATACGATTATCGTGTGGATCTCTGATATATTAGTTTATAAAATTAAATGTTTCTTGGTGTACAATATCCACAAAGAAAAGCAAATATATGAGGAGAAAAACAAGAATAATTTACTATTTTTATTGATCTGTAATTATACGTCGGTCAGTACGTCGGTCAGTAGGTCGGTCTGGTGGGTTTGGTCAACCGAGTAATCACTCAATTAATCAATTATGCTATCAATAAATTATCGAATTAATCAATTAAGCAACCAGACACACATTTATCCGACTTATTAATTCATTTACTGAAAAATTAGAATAAGTATGTTATTAACCTATCTTTTTCATTTCTTTCTTCCATTCAGTCACTTTTATCTATCAAGTTACTCCAAATCAAACAAACGATGTGATATCTACGCCTTGTAACTACCATCGATAAAAAATTACACTGTATAATATTGATAAGAATGATTAGAGAACGGAAAATATTTATTCCTAGTAAACATTATCAATATTAATAAATAGGTCAGCGTAAAACTCGGAAGCTTCACAGATCTCATAAGTAGACTTTAAGGTAAGGTAGTAACCAGGCAATAACATCGGCTTTAAACGTTATCAAATCATTCAAAGATCTGAGAAGTATTTGTATTTATTAAAGACTATTAGTGAAGTTACTCATCTAAATGACGATCTCGGGAATATTTACAGCTGATATAATCAATTATATTGTTACCATGTACACCTTTATCTGATAAGACAAATATTTTCTATGATGAAAGAATTAGCCATGGAACGCCCTTCATAATTTTTATACAGGCTCTGTGAAATAACATTACCGATACGAGAGGAGTGTTCAAATATGAATGCAAACAAAACACCGAGAAAATGATGGTTATCGGGGATATATACATGTTTATCTTATGTTGATACCACAGTCATTAAAATATGTTTATAGCTTGTTAAACATTAAACAAACATGTTTGATAGAAGATGAGAGTATGCGTTTGAAAAACGGTCTTAAAAAGAGATGTCAAATTGGTAAAGGGTGTAAAGACATTTTTGATACAATCTTTCTTGTATATGGACAAAATGAAAAGTCTTTTTCATCAATTATTCGTTAGATAAAAAAATAAATGTGGATTAATTACGACTAATAAATACCCCTTGCCTGTCTGCCTTACAGCAACGTCTGTGAAATGGTTATTAAAGTGTAAGCAATTATAATATCGATGCAGAATGTACCACTAGGTAGATAGCTAGTATCGTTAGAATCTCAATCTAGGAACATCTCAAACGTGACCTGATTCTTCAGGAAACAGTATGTATACTTGATCCCAACTTGTATCATAGTTTGGAGACATTTATATTCAAAACTTGTCAGAGATAAATGGTTTAACAATTGATGCATGGTGCGTTAATTGGAGTGCATGTATTAATTACCTGCACACCAATTACTGCTCTGTCTGTCGGGGATAAAAATTGAGCATGCTCGTTGATTGGCTACATTTTTCTGAGATTAACTTATTATTATGAGAAGGAAAGGGTCATGATAAAAAAACCATATTCAGATGCTTTTACATTGGTTCCTTTTTTCTGGGGTTTCATATTGTGACGACAGACAACGTGTTATAATTTTTTTTTGTCTATGATGCAAACGAGAAAGAATATCAAAACGTTTGACAATCTGATCGTACAAATCAGACAGTCTCGTGTCTGGTGTTCTTTCTATTATTTACCTTATTTTTGTATTAGATATTAAAATGTGTTTAATTTAAAATTATATTGGGCAAACAAAAAATACCAGATTAGAACTTTTAATGGAAATTAATAATTAAATGCCTCATGAAGTAAATTTACGAACCAGATATGTCTTTACTCTGTTATAAATAAAAGAACACTAAAAGGTTCCACTGTTACACGCTTCAAAATTCGTTAATTTCGTTAATTTAAGACAGGAATAATCATGTTTAATTTATTTCAACATTGATTTAGAGGTGATAATATTTTCCTACTGTAATTATTGTTTTATGTTATATTTTTTTGAAAATTGTATGTAATATAAACGTGCGCGTTATTCGTTCACTCATTCATTCGTTCGTTCGTTCGTTCGTTCGTTCGTTCATTCATTCATTCATTCATTAACATGACTTTTTTTAATAAAATAAGGTTTGTTTTTTCTTTTTTTTTCTTTTCATGAATATATTTAGTAGTTACTATATACTCTGTCATTTCCTATCGAGGAAAAGATGTTTAACTTTCCTTTTTGGTCTTTTCGGCATTATATCACTAATATACATTTTGCAAAACTGTTTCAACGGACAACATGTTTTGTTTGCTGTTATATGATTTGGAAAGACTTCTTTAACAATGTGTAAATATCTGTTATTAAAACAATCCTGTATATTACATTGCATTACATGGTTAAAGATATACTATATTTAAGCTTGATATTAAAAAATATTAATAATTGCTACACAGTCTCTTTGTAAATTTGAAATAAACATGTTTTGACTTCATACAACGTAGAATTGTTGTCTTTTAAACTCTTCACGCTTTATAGGTGGTCACAATATGAATATACAGTGTCATTAGAAAAATTGGCAGTTTTTTTATAAAGAAAAAACTTTACTTGACCTGTAATAGGGAGTGCAGCTTCCAATACATAGTTTATTCATTTTTTCTTTGTTCAAATCCTACATACTCGTATTCATTAAAAACTGCATGCATTTCAATAAATTCCTGCCAACAGAAAAACAAACAATACAACTCAAGAATGAGCATAGATTGTAGTATATCTCAAAGCAATGATGTCTTACCGAAGTCCCCTAGTTTGTAAATAATTATCTTGATAATGTGTTTATAGTTATTTATGAATTCATTAGTGTCAAGTTGTGACTATATATTTGACATGATCTATATCCATTCGTCTATTGAGTAAGACCTTCTATAATATTACCGGGAATGTAAATATTATACAAAAGAGAAAATTGGATAAAAGGAAGTAATACATACATATTAAATACATGTGATACTCCTATTAACATAGAATAAAAGCATTTGATGTTTCAATGAAGAAGATGTAAGTTGATTTAATATGTTTGAAGCTACAACAATCTTATTTATAAATAAAAAGAATAACTAATGCATTGCTATATAAAGTTATAAATTCTGGAATAAGAGGTCTTTGATTAACCACACCATTCCTATAAACCTTTTAAACGAATTCATGTTTGTTTTGATTGTTCCCAAATAAGTCTAAAACGTCCCGAAGCAGAGTTGTAAATTATCTAACATAACAAGTAATTAATTGAAGGGCCTTCAGTTTATTACGAGAAGCCAAGTTATTAAACATATTGCCAAAGAGGCACTAAAACATTGATAATAGTTATTATAAATGAAAAACTATTGACTTTTATTATACAAGCTACGGCAAATTAAATGAAAGAAAAACGGTCTATAAATACAACAATGAAACAGAACCGATAAATTGATAATGAATTATTCCTTAAAGCACTTCGTCACATTTTATAGAAACGTAAATGAAGCCTATGTTTGAAATATCAAACACTTACGGAGTTTCATATGTGAAAATGTTAGTGTTATTTCATTTTTAATGTAAGTGTAATTTCATGTAAATTTTAGTGTAATGTCATGTAAAAGGTTATTATAATGTAATGCAATATATTAGTGTAATTTCATGTAAAATGTTAATGTTGTATAATGTAAAATGTTAGTGTAGCATCATGTAAAATAACAGTGTAATTTCATGTAAAATGCTACCGTTATTTCATGTAAAATACTAGTATTAGTTTAATATCAAATTAAATGTTACTGATATCTTAGTGAAATTTGTGAAATGTTAGTGTAACATGTCTATCATGTAAAATGTTAGCCTAAGTCTATATTAGATGTAAGTAAAATATAATGTAATATGTTAATGTAAGATCATGTAAAATGTAAATTACTATAATGTAAATAACAAAATAAATTATGTTTGACATATGAATTTGATGTACAAGCGTAAACAAAACACAAAACAAAAATAATTGAACAATAGTAATATCTATAGGCTTGTTTTGAAAGATAAATGAGCTGCGTCACGACAAAACCAACAGAATAGGTTTGCGACCAGCATGGATCCAGACCAGCCTGCGCATCCGTGCAGTCTGATCAGGATCCATGCTGTTCGCTTACAAACCCTATTTCAAGTAGAGAAACTGATAGCGAACAGCATGGATCCTGATCAGACTGCGCGGATGCGCAGCTGGATCCATGCTGGTCGCAAACGTACTATGTTGATTTTGTCATGACGCGGCTCAGATGAACAAAGACCTCAGTAAGCGAATTTTGTTTTTGTTTTCTTTTATGATCGATGTTTAAACGACATACACAATTTACACTATCAACTTTTGAAAATTCCGACATGAAATATTCGAAAAATGTAAAAGTTAATTAAGGAAAAAACCTTATCTCTTTACTTTAAAAAAATGTTCCGGTTTCATCGATATTTTCGTAACAATGAATCTTATTCTATAAAAATTTTCAGTTACTATGTTGATTATTTTAATTGAATATTTTAATTTAATATTGATATCTCATTATTTGCAGCTATGACTAAAATATCAGCAACAGTTTTTAAATCATAATTATTTAAACCATTTTGCATGAACAAACACGATTTTTTTTATATTTTCTTAATTTTCTAAATCATTATTATTTTTAATTTTTTACCATTAATTTCGCCTTATTTAAGACGAATTAGCATTTTCGCAAGAATTGTAGTGGAACGCATGTCCTAGAATACAGAACAAAAGTGACAGACACTTACCAGTAAGGCAAAGAATGAACACAAAAGTGTACAAAATGATGAACGAAACTCGAACGTATATTTTGTCAAACGGATTATCAAAACCATATTTACTTCGTCCGTTTTCAAATGACAATGTATCATTTAGCCATGTAGTATTAGTATGATTATAATCCTTATTCATAATTTAGACACTTTCCAATCATTTATATTAATAAATGTTCACATCTTAAACAGCAATGTCTAAGCCCCTGCTTTATTCCGCAGCATGATCGGATGAATGCACTTCGAGATATCCGATATGAAATACGCCGCTTGAATAGCCCAAAAATATGACTCCAATAGATATCGTTTAAGTTGACTGTGACATAGCATATCATCTTGTGATATATTTATGATATATAGTTATATAGCTAAAACATATGTATTACTAAGTTGTTTTTTTTAAATGAGAGCTGGGCATAAAACATTGGTTTATAATAATGCTGCACAGTTGTAACATCGTTTTTATTGGATAAGTGTAACATTTATAGTGCCCTGATACACGACTGGTGGTAATTTATAAATTGATATTTTCCTCTAATAAGTCAGGTTTGCAGCATTATACAAAGTCATTGTAATGATTCTTGACCTGTTAAATGATCGTTTTTATTAAATGATTGTTTGTAATATACTAGTTACCATCGTCTAGCGGCTAGGTTATACATATAATTCGCGGTTCACCGCAAAAGTGTTGTAACATTTAAGTTACTGCAGTTTTGCGGTCAACCCTCGAGATACAAACATTTATATAGGGCTATATAGTCTGTTAAAATCTCTATAAGTATAAATAAATAAGATAAATAAACGATAAATAACCGATAATATTAAAAATGAAATGTGAGCAGTGAGCCAAACATACACGGTAGGTTTGTATTTTTTTGTTATAACTTTTCGTCTCTTTTCAGCAATAATTTAGAGGATCTTAAAAGATATATATGTTTATTGGAAATTTATTAAAATCTATGAAAATTCTTTCATAATTTGAAAAAAAAACAATGAAAAAATATGCATATAACAGGATATGTAAAAGTGGTACTTTCTTAAAATACTGCCAGTTTTTAACGACAGTGTACGTACATAGTGTGTGTAGAGTTTAAACATAACATATTTTATTTGTATGAACTCAACTTGTTTTTCCATTATTAACAAAGAGACTGTGTTGCAATTATCAATATTTTCTTTTGTGTACAAAATATGTCAATGTTTATCAAAAATTATTCGATTTATTTAGAGTCTATAACTGAGTCTAAAATACGAAAGCGTAAATCGACATTTCGCATTTTGAAGTTCAACTAGAACGAAAATTTTATAATGTTTATTCCCATTTATATAATTCTGCAAAACTGTCAGAATGTATCAAAACACATCTTATACTTTACAAAAGTACTCAATGTTATGTTAAGTACATCTTTTTCATCAGGAAACCCAGTCAAACATTATGTGATAATTAACTTTATTCAAATTCAACAAATTTCAGAAGTTTAACGCGCCTATCAAAACCACCACGATATCTTTGTCTTGCATGTCAGTACGAATGGTGGAAATTTCATCAGACATGGGGTGCCAGATTAGTCGCACGATCCAACATGACGTCATTTAATGAATGTACTGCTTGCCGAAGATGACCTCATTTTGCCGTTATTCAGAAAGCCTTATTATGCCAAGAAAATTGAAACAGGTTAAAAGACATTAATTTCCATGAACACATGTATTTATTTGGTTTTTATTTATCATGGTTAATTAAGCATGAAAAATGTCTCAAATATATTTGCAGTTCAAATTGGAATTTTGTTCACCCAGTGGACTGTTACTCGGCAAGTTCTGCAACCGTCCACTGGGCAGGTACCCCAAGACGGATATTCTGATCCTAACTTTAACACATGACATTAATGAGTAAAATATTATGTTTCCTTTGTTAAATAACATACTTAAAGTTAACGTACAAGATTACCTCTGACAGGTGACTAATCGGCTCTTCAAAAGAAACTGTGAGTCTTTGATGTTTACACACATGCAGTGCCGGCTGTTTAATCCTAATCATCAAAGAAGTGCCGACACTCATTTGACTTCCACCCATTTTATAGATCAAAAACTGTCATCAATTTTTGTCAAGAAACGATTACACTTATTATGATTAATGCTCAACGGGAAAAATTATCGTGTCAATTAATGACATATTAATAGCAAGTGCATTTTGATTGTGAGAAAACCTATTTTTAGTTTGCTTTGTGTTTATCAAATCTGAAAAAAAATGAGTTTTTTCAAAACTACTATTTGATTAAAATTAAATTTTCCTGCATAAGCTTTCACTAGCGCTTGAGTGTGATTACTTGTGTATGTTGTTTTCTATGGCATTTGTACGCAAATTGAATTTCAAAAACTACCGATTGTTATACATAAACACAGATGAAATTACGGCTGTATGAAATATTTATCAAAAGTGATATAGACCCCTGATACGACAGGGACTCCACTGAGGTTTAAAAGCCTAAAAACATAACATTTAATATTTTACATAAATGAGCTGTGGCACTTTAAACAGAAATATATGCAAAAATAGTTGTTAAGAAATATATTTTGAAATAAGTTGAAAATCGTATTTTTATGCTTTTCTTAGACCGATTTGAGTGAAAAGCGTTTAAACGCTTTTCAGTTTGGGTCATTTTTTTACAATTTGAATAATTATTCTGGAAAAACGAATTGCGCGAATGATTTGAAATTTTGCACAAAGATTAGTGGTCTATACCTACATCAAATGGTACATTTATCTGGTAAAAATATTTTCATTCCCGTCATGTCAAAAAACCTCAGTTGAGTCCCTTTAAGATTTCAATTACATTTGTTGAGTTTTTCACCGCAAATACGTGTATAGGAATAAATTGTTTTTTGTTTTTACATATTTATTTGTCGGCGGGTCGGTGAACCGAAAGATATACAATTTATGATCTAATGCATGAAATAAGACCGGCGCGTGTTAAAGGTCACCGAACAAATTTTTATTACAAGAGGGCAGCAATTATCGGCCCTTCAAAAATTTTAGGGTGGGCAAATGACGGCCCTTTCAAAACATTCGATGGGGAAAATGTCCGCCACTGCAAGGGGGGGTGGGGTGGGCAAACGTACGAGGGGGCAATTGTTTGGGATGTTGTTGTCTTTCTTCAAGTTTTACTTATTTTGAAGAAGTACTGACACCTAAAGCGCTTTCTAAAGGGCAGATAATTCTGAATGGCATTTTGCTAAATTTTATCCAAAGCGGTCTTAATAAATGAAACTATTTTATATAAGTACGGGGAATTCATTAATCGTGTTCTCTGGGTATATTAAAGTAAAATTGATTTTAACAATTCTTTATAGACAACATGTCTAGGGTTCCTATTCTGTATGACATTAATGCACTATTCCAGATATAAGACACACTTTTGCACCACTTTTTGGTATTTTGCAAACGATTCGGGGTATTGTGAAGCATTTTAAAACCAAACAAAACATTCAAGCGTAGTGTGGTCTCCGTTAAACTGTTCAGAATGCAGTGTGGTCGCCATGAAGTCGCTGAAAATGAAGTCTGATATACTAAAGTGTTGAGAACGCGGCGGATGCGCAATGCAACCAGGAAAGGCAACAGAACGCCGTTGAAACTCCGTGGAAACGCTTTGAATAATCCAACTTCACGAAAAATGTCAGATATTTTTGGCAATTTTTAGAATGATATCATTGTGTGATAAAATACAAGCATTTGTACTTCAGAAATATACGATGCAATATCTATTTTTAAAGCATTGTTTTAACATTCACGATTTCTGGCATTAACGTTCGTCGCACTGCGTAAACAACGCTGTACCAACACAATGTACATGTTGGGCGCTATTCTTTTCATAAGAACGGCATGTTCCGTAATTTATGTAAAATTGAATTTTAATCAAGTTTAGCTCTAATTTGTTGACAATAAAACACTTGTGCACGTTATTGTTTAGTATTATTTATCTATTTCACATCAGCTTCAGCATAATTATGATTTTCAATCTGAGTAAATAAAAAGCGAACATTTGATTACTTTTCTTGTTAAAAACAGCACATGTGATCAATTAATCAAAACGTAATTTTATCTTTGCAGTCAGAAAAGTTCACCAATATAGTGGAAGAAAACGAGATTTCTACATCATATTTCTAATATTAATCTACTGAATGTAAATTTAAATGTCAAACACTAATAACATCTTGTTTCATCAAAACAAACACTATTTAGTTTATCTTAATTGAGGAATATTCATGTGATTGGAATCTATTAAAGATCGTCTTGTCAAAATAAAATGCATAATCTTCAAAAGTTATATCATCTTAATAAAATTGTTTTGTCCATTAGAGTCAGATTTCAACGCGATATTGCAAGTATCTAATGGGTAAGGTTTCTGCACGTGTTAGCGGGAAATGTCGAAGTAATGTGATTGTTCAAACGGAACATTTATTTAAATGATGACATAAATGCTTAAATTGGTTGTCATTTAAGATAAACGTAATCATACTTTAAAGAAATGTTCACCACTGATAATGGTTTATAATGCCTTTTTATGGTTATTGATTTATAACATTTTTCGTCTGTTTTCAGTTTGACTTCCTGTAACATTTACAAGGAAGAACTGAATATAAGAAGAGTTTTCATTGGTCATTTTTGGGGTGGGGGCTATCCAACTAGCTTACGAACTATTGGTGGTTTTTATGTTCCAGTGCCCGTTCGTGTCTGAAATATTGCTAAAGAAAGAAGAAAAAAATAAAAAAGAATATCCTTTAGGACTTTAGAAAAATTTTATAATAATATTTTCATCTTATGTTTGTATAACTCAGATACTATACTATCAGAATCGAAATCAAAAAAGCAACTGTTTTAGCGAAAGGTTCATTATAAGAGTCAAAATAAGAATCAATGTTTAATAAAATGATGTAATAAAAGTAAATAAAGTGTTGATATACCTGTTTATGAAATATAAACATAAACATCAAACAATGAAAAGTGACATTCAATGAGCGAATCTATACATGTATGCCTTACACTCAAACTATGCTTGCATCTTTATACCCTAAGATTTGTTTTATGTTTTTTGTTTGTTGCATTGTCGAACGAAACACTCTTTACAATGTCATCAAAAGCAAAGATA